ATATCTACAAAGTTAAAAATCACACTCAGGCTTAACTAAACCAGGAATCCATTCAAACGTAAAACGAGCAAAACATGAAACAATGTTATGCATAAAATGCTTTTCAGTTTAAAAGTGGTCACGACTCTTAAAATAGGAGCTGAAGTTTCACCCTGATGAACTTAATCCTACGAATCTGAAACACTTTTAGTGTTCTCAGTGCATCAGGAGAACATTGCACAACCCAAACAATATTAAACCCTCTTACTAACCTCATAACACTGCATAAGACCAGCAAAACCAAACTACTGTCTAAAAGTGAATCTCCAAGAGAACTGGTCAAACTTGCAGCCAAAACTAAGCAATGTTTCAAAAGAAAACTGCACATTTGAGACGTTTGTGGTGAATATGAACAAACAAAAAGTATCACGGCAAAGAAAAAGCCACCTCCATTGTTGGTTTCTTTCTTGCTTCAAGGTTAAACATTGCTTTTACTTGAAGACGGCTCTCGAAATACTCCAACTGGCAGCACATATTATGACAACATGGCTAAAAATCATGTAAACGCTTCAAACAGCAGTCATTCCAACAATATGTACAAAAACAAAGGGAAACATCTGTTGGCTCATGATATTAACAACCTTCAAAACATTAAAAATAAATAGTTTTACAATAACATAAAAAAAAACATTTTCCCAAAAATACAATGCTTTCCATCAGCTTACTCAGGACAAGGTTGAACACATGATTAAAAGGAGGCAACTATGAGCTAACGGTGTGTGTGTGTTTTCTCACACATGAAGATGAACATGTCTGCAGGTGTGTCAGGGGGATGCATAGGTGGGAAAGAAGATCCTGAGATAAACCCACAAAATGCTGTGACTAAAAATATAAAGCATACATGACAAAACGTTGGTTTAACGGATTCATCCAAGATCCAACTCCACAGCCACTCTGCAGATACCAGAAAGTACTATTTCCTATTATTGTTGTTTGTTTCCTCCTAAAAAATCAGTTGAGATACAATCAGAGGCAAAGGGGCATAAATAAGGCAGGTTATAAAACACAAGAATGTTAAGCTATGAAACAAAAATATTTATCAATAAATTAGAAACGAAGATGGCAGAAATCACTTGGCCTCTGTTAAAAAACTCTCCTGAACTCAGAAATATTAATATTAATAATCAACCTAGCAAACATGCTTCATTGAACAACAATCCCTTCTTCTTAAATGTCACAACAAAAAGTTAACAAGAGGAAAACTTGCGTTTACACATCAGCATGTACACGGATCGAGTTAAAATAATGATATCATATATTTATATACACACATCAGTCCCTGATCGATTAAGGCCAAAGTGCTGCAGATGCATGTGTCACCCACATCACAGGGAGGCTGCTGTTGCACTTATAGCTTTCCCCTGTTTGCAAAATGCAAACGAAGCAGTTTAGTAGAACTCCAAAGCCTTTGTTCCTGCCTGGTTTGTTTCTTGAACTTATAAAGTTAAAGAAACTGCTTTCAGAAATAATAGTCTCTCCAGTGATGCTCTTTTGTTTTGCCTTTTTTTTTTGTATTTCTTGTGGTTTTTTTTAACAAAAGGGAGATTTTATTTACATACAGTAGCATTAGGGTTCATATGACTAAATTCCACAGTCTTCTGGGACTTCCTGAAAAGCTCTGTCCTCCAAAAAGAAGAACACACAATGAGAGGCGGGGCTGTTAACTGGTGATGAAAGCAGGGAACCGGGGCAGTGGAGCAGTGCTGGTCTTCATGGGTACGAGCGGAGCCACAGTGGCGGTGACGGAGGAGTCAGAGCATGCCGAAGCCCTCGCTGCCCTCGCTGATGGCCAGCTTTAGCATCTTGTGCAGCTCCTCGTAAGAGTCATACGTGGGGAGGCACAGCTGGTTAAAACTAGACACAGAGTGACAGAGAGCCAGCTAACGTCAACACCGATGATAAGACAAGAATCTCCTGGAAAATGTCAAATTTGCAAACGTTAATTCTCTTATGGTTAGAAGTGCATTGCTTAAAGTGCCTGTGATGTCAAATTTTTTGTAATATTTATATGAATGCATTTTTAGAAAGAGGACATAAATAAAATACTACAAAAGAAATTTCATGTCACTGAGATGAACAGTTGTTGAGATATTCACCTGTGAAGTTACAGGAAGTGATGTCAAATGGGAATGTCTACATGTGAACAGAGCGTTGCTACAACAGCCAACAACCCAGAGTTTAAAGGAGCTATAAGTTCAAGCGCAAAAAAACATTTGCATCCAGGTTTGTGTCTGGGTTACGACAAACCACCGGGGAAAAGATGCTGGGCCCTCAGAAGGATTGAAAAATAGTGTAACAAGAATATCAGGTATGATTCAAAGTGTATGAAGAGCACAGTATAATTTGTTCATATTTGGTTTTATCCTTTTATCTGCAATTAAAATGAAACAAGCAATTATGGCACGGCAGGCCAGCATCAAACTAAAAATATTGTTGTTACACAACAGATGTGTTTAAGAATAAACCCCAGGGAAGTTATATACAGCGGGTAAAATAAGTATTGAACACGTCACCATTTTTCTCAGTAAATATATTACTAGAGGTGCTAATGACATGAAATTTTCACCAGATGTRGGTAACAACCCAAGTGATCCATACATACAAAGAAATCAAACCATAAATGTCCAGAAATGAAGTTATTTGTAATAATGTGGAATGGCACAGGGAAAAAGTATTGAACATACTTACTGAAATTTATCTAATACTTTGTACAAAAGCCTTTGTTGTCAATGACAGCTTCAAGACGCCTCCTGTATGGAGAAACTAGTGGCATGCATTGCTCAGGTGTGATTTTGGCCCATTCTTCCACAAACAGTCTTCAAATCTTGAAGGTTTCGTGGACCTCTTCTATGAACTCTTTCCATAGATTTTCTGTTGGATTCAGGTCAGGTGATTGGCTGGGCCATTCCAGCAGCTTTAGTTTCTTTCTCTGAAACCAACTGAGAGTTTCCTTGGCTTTGTGTTTGGGCTCATTGTCTTGTTGAAATGTCCAGCCACGTTTCAWCTTCATCATCCTGGTAGATGGAAGCAGATTTTTATCAAGAATGTCTCTGGACATTTTTCCACTCATCCTTCCTTCAATTATTTGAAGTTTGCCAGTACCATATGCTGAAAAACAGCCCCACACCATGATGTTCCCACCTCCAAACTTCACTGTTGGTATGGTGTTTTMGGGCTGATGTGCAGTGCCATTTGACCTCCAAACATGATGTGTATTCTGGCATCCAAACAGTTCAATGTTGGTCTCATCTGACCAGACTATATTCTCCCAGTATTACACAGGCTTGTTTAAATGTTGTGCAGCAAACTTTAAAGGAGCTTCAACATGCTGTTTCTTCAGCAGTGGAGTCTTGCGTGGTGAGCGTGCATACAGGCCATGGTGGTTCAGTGCATTACTTATTGTTTTCTTTGAAACTAACGTACCTGCTAATTCCAGGTCTTTCTGAAGCTCTCCACAAGTGGTCCTTGGCTCTTGGACAACTCTTCTGATAATTCTTTTCACTCCTCTGTCAGAAATRTTGTGAGGAGCACCTGGTRGTGGTCGGTTTATGGTGAAATGATGTTCTTTCCACTTCTGAATTATGGCCCCAACAGTGCTCACTGGAACCTTCAGAAGTTTAGACATTCTTCTGTAACRGATGCCATCATTATGCTTTGCAACAATAAGGTTGTGAAGGTCTTGAGAGAGCTCTTTACTTTTACCCATCATCAGATGMTTCTTGTGTGATACCTGGCCATCATTTGGGACTGAACCAGCTGATATTAATTTGCAATGACAAGGGGCAGGCTTGCTTTCTAATTACTGAGAGAGTTCAGCTGGTGTCTTGGCTTVCCATGCCTTTTTACACCTCCCTTTCTTCATGTGTTCAATACTTTTTCCCTGTGCCATTCCACATTATTACAAATAACTTKATTTCTGGACATTTATGGTTTGATTTATTTGTATGTATGGATCACTTACTTGGGTTGTTACCGACATCTGGTGAAAATTTCATGTCATTAGCACCTCTAGTAATATATTTACTGAGAAAAATGGTGATAGTGGGCTAACACATGACACATTTCAGAGTGTTTGAGGCGTTTTTAAACATGAATATACTCACTAACCGTGCTTGAACACCACACAGGTGTTTCAGTAACACAATGTCGATACCAAAGTTCTTTTTATCAGCATCTGCTTACCAAGTATGTGCGGTGGGCAAAGTGCTGTGTGTGGGGGCGGCGATGATTTGAAAAGAGGGGCAAAGAGTGTTGAACCCTCCAGGGGGAAGCTGAGAGGAGCCAGTGGTGAACTGCAACAGACGTGCCAGCTCTTCCTGGGTGAAACTGGACACCACTGCCCAGAACCACTTCATCACCTTTGGATAGAATAAAAATCAATGCACAGACAGCACTTTGCTGGTAGAAGAAAAAAAGAAAGTTTTCCTACTTTCTCTCTGAAATGCCAGGATCCTCCGACAATCACAGCATGAGCTTTGAAGTCCTGCACGTTTATATCGCCTGTTCCGCACATCAACAACTGATGAGGAGAAACGAAAAACATACATAATTACCCAGTGATTTTTCCTTCCTTTAAAGATTCTCTGGGATTTTATTACACACACCTCCAACTCGTTCTCATCAAATATGGCCAGCAGATTTTCTGGAACCAGTTCATTCAGTCCTATAATTGATTAAAAGACTCCCATTAATGACATGCGCACAACAYGGACAAAAACAGCCACTTGCATTCATGTCTTCTTACCTTTCAGGAAATGTTCCACCTCATCCCTCACCTGGCTGGCCAGTCTGTATTGCGCCAGCAGGTTGAGATAATGCATCTTATTTTCATTGGTAACGGCGATCTGAGCTCCCCCTGAAATTAGCTCCACCACCTGCACATGAGGCACGAWGGAGGAATGAATCCAAGGTTTAAATGAGCAGATTGATCTAATAACATGCTTAGTTAATTTTAAAACAGACAGCTAAGTTCTGTTTCAACAGGAGGAAAACAAAACCAGACATGTAGAAGCTGAAGTTATATTAGTCTCTAAAGTGAAAAAACAAAACAACCATAAACAAAAGCCAGGATGGTAAACTACTCATCCGCCATCATATAAAACCCACTGACATCATCTTTCAGGAAAAAACAAAATGGTTGGCAAACAAGCAATATGGTTCCTTTTGCATGATTTATTACCATTTTCTATGAAGAAATAGCTTTACAGATTAAAGAGGTGTTTCCTTTCCAAATCGTTGCCTCACCTTCTCCAGCTGTCCTGACTTGTTGTACTTCTCCTCAGCAAACACCAGGTCCATTTCACTCACGTCATTGTTTAGGATGAAGCAGACTTTGGTTTTGTAGAACTCCTGGTCATCTGCCTCAAAGTACTTTGTGTGTGGAAAACAAAATGGAAAACACAGTAAAAAAAATTTAAATAAACATGACATTTCATCTTCTTGGAGAGAATGGATAAAAGACAATTGGGTGGGCTTTTTGAATTCTTAAGAAGTTAGATAAACAGCGATACATGCTGGCTGGGTTTCCATAAATAATCCAATGAACCAGATTCCTGGCTCTTTTTTTTTTTTTTTTTGGAGTTTGTTTAAAAGCTGAGAAAGACCAGATGACAAAAAGAGGYTAAACAATGAAAACAGAACCTTGCTCATTTGAAGATTTCTATACCTTGTAGTTCATCCTAAGACCAATGATCTGCGCTAAGAAGGAACGTGTAAAGCGAGCTCGGACCAGCTGTTTGTAGGCTCCGCCCAGAGCCGACTCGTACAAACATTTCCCCACGATGCGACCTGCGAACTCGTACATCTTCAAGCGCAAGTGAGGCGGCCTGTCGGGATTTGGGTGCACCTGGAAAAGTGAAGAGTGCTTGCTTAATTATTATTTGTTTTTAGAAAATGTAGTTGAACTGGATTGAGGACTAAATATGAAAACAAACACCAAAAAACAAAACAAAACAAAAAAAAGACTCACAAGGCCCTGGTTATCGTCACTGAAGCGTGTGAACAACTGGTTGGACGTGTCAAAAAGAGTCTTGCAGATCAACTCAAACCACTCCCTGCGAGGTCCACCCCAGTCAAGAGCTGCAAAAGAACAACAGAAATAAGTGCGCTGCGTGATGAAAGAGTTTAAAACGTCAGTAGAGCTCATAAACTTGAGAAATTTACCTTCTTCGTCATGAAACACAACCTCAAAGTTCTTACTCCAGTCTGACACTGAGAAGTTCCTTGTGGCCTTTAATGACTGAAATGAGAGTAAACATTATGACTAGGGATGGGTACCTTTGACATTTGAATTGATTTGCTACCAATATCCGGTACCTGGGAATCGGTACCGGTATTTAACGGTACCAATTTTCGGTACTTCGTGTGTGTTTTTTTTTATAATAAACTTGATAAACTGTTTTTATTTTACATATTTCTCAATATATAAAATTTAACAAATATCAAGACAACATCCAACTCTTTGTATTGTAACATCAATTGTTTAACTAACTCTTTAAGGTAAAAACTCTTGAAAACAACAAGACTGTTTTGTCTTATTGCACAAATTAAAATCCAGCTCCATGTTTTTCTATTGATGTCATTTCCCTGCTAGAAAAATTGTGTGATGGAGGTCCATGGTTGGCAAATAAGTTTAAATCAAATAAGCAAAAGAGGATTGAGTTTTAAAAAAAAGTATTCAAGCTACGTTTTGAGCATCCAACACGCGCCAACGCTTTGAGTTGACTGCTTGTTGATGGGTTCAAATTAATTACACCTTAAAGAAATAAACCAGACAGACATGAGTATTCAGTTTTGATCAGTTACCTTTGCAAAGTGAGAAATTCTGGAGATCACTTAGCTTTTCGGGCCAGGGATCTGGAGAAGTTCAGAAGCTTTGCTGAGAAAACTGTTTATTTATTAAGCAGACAAGGAGCAGAGAAAACATGTCCTGACCAATCACATCACAGAGAGCTGTTTCTTATCAGCAGTGTAGCAGAAAGTGAAAAAATTTATGGCAGGTCTGCTCTCAGCCTCAGAGCAGAGTGAACAAAGCTTCATTCATTAAGAGTCTGATTACACATTCAGTAAGAACCTGATTAATACAAAATGATAAAGTATAAAAATCTCTAACACTTGTGCTTCAGGTCAGATGCATTCGAACTGTCAGGAAGCGCCTCTGTTGTTTTCCTCTGCCGGTCTCTGGCTACGTTCACATGGCAGGCAAATGCGACCTATATGATTTTTTATGACAGTCTGAACGCGATAAATCTGATTTTTCAAATCCGACCCAGGCCGTTTCAGAATGTGGTTTTAAATTGGATACATATCTGATGTATTCAAAGCGACTGCAGTGAGAACGTTCATGTCACATTTTATCCGACTTTTTCATCAGTGAGGTGGGGGTGAAGGATCGATAATAATCTAACATCAAGTCATGCTGTTTAAACCTGTAACTCCATGTGTTTACAGCTCCAAAACACAAGTCCAGTTGCTTCGTCTTTTTACTTTTCATTTRCCATGTAGATAGTAACGTCCAGCTTGGGTCACGAAGCGTATCAATCCTAAAGTTACTTGGTCGATACTTTAGTTCCAGCTCATTGTTTCGTTCAAAAATAAAAAGCTTCACTGGAGCATCCCGGTCAGAGACAGGTTCAGATAAACACTGAACTACACAAGCATGTCAGGTAATTATTTAATCAGCTCTGATTAAACAACAACTTCAGATTCGACGTGCAAAATTAGCATTCATGCTAGTTCTGTAAACAAACAAGCTGGTTGAATGAGACGGCACGTCTTTTATTGCGCATGCGTGTCACATCAGCGCTGTGTAGCGTTCACACTGGTGTCTGATGCAGGTCGCATTTAAAATGTAATGTGAACGCTCACACAAAAACATCGGATTATTTCAGAAAATCAGAATTGAGCATTAAGACCTGCAGTGTGAACGTAGCCTCTGTTTAACAGCGGATGAAATAAAGAAAGTGGCGGTACTTTATTTACTTTGAGCAAGCGAACGTCGTGCTCACAAGATAATTAATCCACCAGATAATTCAGAGGCGGTCTGTTTGGTGAGTTTTACTCCAGGAGCTGCGAGGTTCGCTTTCAAGCTACGTTCAGACCAAACTGTTTACTGAACCAGCGGCTGCTCACGTCATTACGCTCTTGCGCGATGCTGCGTTCATGACAAGCATGGAAAATCTCCAACTCTTACGCGAATATGATCACAATGATGCGTTTAGGTACCAAAAAATGGTACCGTTTGATGTCACGTGAATAGGTTCTCAATAGCACCGACAGAATTCGGTCGGTACTTTCAAAAGTATCGAATTTGGTACCCATCCCTAATTATGACAAGGTTAATAATAGAATTATGTTTATTTGCAGAAAGCACGACTCACAAAAGAAGAGTTAAAATGCAGAAAAGCAGCAGTACTCACTGAATCTAGAATGGCATGTCGGGAGATTTTTAGGCAAGTTTTGGTTCGAGGTTTCTTGGCGTGAATGTGCCTGAGTTCCCGTTGAAAGAAGTTCACTTTATCTTGAAAGGTTTCGGAGCCACCTAAAGCCGAGAAGCTCAAGTTACTGGGAGGGTCTGTGCACAGGACAACTTCAATCATACAAGTTTAAAAACAAACCTATGTTTTTGTGCAGGAAGCGAATGAAGGTGGCCGCCATGATGTTTCTGTCTTTGCAGCTGAGCTCCACAGGAGGCTGTATCCCATCATCCACCACCAGAGTTAAATATCTATGAACTGGGTCTGGACCATAGTAAGTAAACTGAAAAAAAAGGACGTTAGGATGAGTTYAAAATCCAAGTAAAAACGGTGTTTTCTCCAAGATTGTAACATTTACTCTGCTAATACCTTTGTTCCTGGACAGACTCGAAATGTGAAAAGGCGCCACGGAATAATTTTCAGGTAGAACTCCTTAACAGATAGTTGCTGTTTGACAAAATTCAAATCAGTGTTTTCATCTTTAAAGACATACTTTATATTGGTTTAAAATCTAAAAAAAATAAATAAATAAAACATCTAACTCTGTTGAACCATTCAGCCTTCTCCTTACCTTTGGCGATATGTAACAGTAGACCTTTTTTGGTTTCTTCACCTTCTCTGGTTGCCCCTCCACAGGAGAGTCGTGCTCCTCATCCTCCTCCCCCATGGAAGGCCTCCTGTGAGGAGTCAGCAGAGAGGACGCTGGTAACTGCCACGACGAACTGCTGTAGTTCCCGCTGCTGTAAAGGTACGCCTCGAAGTAGATGCTTATGCCTGGAGTGGACACATTCTTCTCCACGCAGGCTTTTTCATTCTCTGCCGTGTGCACAAATGGCCAGATTAGGCATGGGAAACGGACTGTGAAAAGACGGTCCTCTCTTAAAGTACCGCTTGGTTTTCAGAATCTGAAAGTCGCTCACCACTGAGAACAATTATGTCAAATTCCCCGTTGCTGAGCAGCTGATCCTTGTAGGAGATGCGGGCCCTGAAACAGCCCGTCTTCCTCAGGGTCAGCCTCAGCAGAACCAGGCACTGCTGCTTGTTGAGTGAAACGGACTTGCTGTAGGACCCCTCGAGGCTGTCATCATCCGCTGTGCCTAGCTGAAAACCAGAAGAACTGAAGCATCAGTTCAGCCCACTGTAACATCACTCCTGAAGCAAAGAATCAGCAGAGGCTTTGCTTTCACAATCATAAGCAAGAAAAACACCATATGAAGGTCAATAAAAGAAAAAAAAAAAGGCTGGTTCTGCTTACAGAGTGGACATGCACACTGTAGTTGGCTTCATCGGTGAGAGAAGTGGAGTTACTGGTGGGGTTTCCGTACTCGTCCCTGGGTTCAATTTGTAACGTGTGCTGCTGGCTGTTTGTTAGCACCAGGGTAGAAAAATGGTAGGCTATTGTTGTTTTGGACGGAACAACAGTACCTGAGAACAAAACCAGAAATATTTTTTCTTTATTCAAAAAATTAATGTGACCCATCATATCGAAATGAGGATTAAGTCAAATTTGGTCAAAATGGTCTAACTACATTTTCAGATTCCTGCTTTTTAAAAGCTACATTTTGATACCGAGATCATCCTGATATCATCAGCTTATCCAGAGATATGACTTAATTTGTCTTGTTGGTTATGATCATATATTACTGTTTGGTATGAATCCTAATTTTATGTAAATTTATTGAGTAATTTTTGATGTCAAGATAAAGAGGAAACTTCAGAGTATTTGTATATTAAGATTTCCCAGTTGGAAAGAAACAAAAACATTGCTAGCTCACAGGGGAAAACTCAAAATTTTAAGGCGTTTTCCCTTAAAATCAGTATTTTTCTTGCTACTGCTCAAAAAAATGCTTCAAAATTTGTTTTTAGGATTATATTTCAGACAGTTCATTCAAACGATACATTGATAAGGCTTTAATTCATTATATTTTGACAAAATACAAACCCTTTATCTGCCCGTTTTTCCAAAAACCACTTTTGGACTTAATCCTCATTTCGATGTGATGCTTTCAATGTTCAACAAATGTTAAAAAAATAAAAAGTCTGAATTGTACCTGGCTGAAATATCTTGTAATAAGGACTGTAAGCCACATTCAGACCACCCAGCTTGACAGCAACCTCATAGCGTCCAGCTTTGCGTACTGTGAAGGCAATTTTGACAACGTTGGACTCTGGTTCTTGCAGAACCTCCTGTGTGACAGGGATGTCCAGGGCCAGCTCAATGTGAGTAATGTTGACCCTCAAACCCACAGGCCGATGGGCAGGGAAAGGTTGACCATTCTTGTAGAACAGCTAAGACACGAGTAAATAAAGAGCAAAATGATTTATAGAGAATACACGCATCAGGTTTTTCCTTTTAAGTTTAAACATTTATTCTCAAAAAGACTGATTTTATACGGATCTTTTCAGATCCACTCAGAAACATTTAAGGTTTACCCTCAATGCATTTGTAATCTGTCATCACCTGGACTCGAAAAGTCATCGTTTGCCCCACTTCCTGCGGTTCTTTCCAGTCCCAGGACACCTTGCAGGAACGTGGGTCCAGGTAGTTGCCACGGACATAGTCATAGATGCTGCGGTCACCTCTTTGTCTTGCATCCTCGTTCTGAAGGAAGCTAACGATTCTTGCTGCAACCTCACAGAGGAACTTGATGGTAAAGAAAAACGCTATGATGGAAACAGTAATTCCACCTGCCGCAAATAAAGGGGAGGAAAAAAGTACGTAGAGCTTGAATACGATCAGTGCTACAACAAAATTTTAAAAAAATTTTGTCAGCATGTTTTGTCAAATCGGTACCACTGGGCTCCTCTTATGGCTTATTAATTATTTATTTATAAACAGTGTACCGTTTTACACTTTACAACAAGTCTCCCTTTGATAGTTCTGGATATGCAGTAATACAGTACATTATATATAAAATATGTGTTTCCAAAACTCTATTATGCTTACAAGGTAGAAACTTAAAATGTTTAATATAGCACTTTAAATGTAATATGTACATAAACAGATTTGGCTCACTATTTGGCAAGAAACAGGACAGTTTTATCTCTTTCTTATCCTTAATTAATGCATAATAAACACTTATTAATGATTTATAAAGTGTTTACAAATTAATTATAAATATCAAACCTAATTTGTGTCATCCTTATGATTAATATTTAGATATTAAAGAAGAAGATAAGAAAAACAAGTTCGTTAGTAAACACCAACCCAGAAATAACCACTTAAAAGTTCATTTTAAACTCACCAATCACGTAAAACATGAGGTCCCTTATCGAGAAGCACAGTGCCACAGTACAGCCAAAAAATAGAGCTCCCGCTAAAAAAAAGAAAAAGAAAAATTTGGAAAATGTATTAAAGAACATCTGAAATGTAGACAGTGCACAGTGTACGGTTTTACAATACATATGAAGAACAGGTTTACTTTACAAAAAATGAGAACAAACGGAAAAAAGGTGCGAGTTGAATGGCCAGTTTTATGCTCCATCATGTTGAAAGCCACTCCTACTTAAAGGAATGCTGACCAACAAGGGCAGATAAACATTAGGAATGTAAACAATACAGATACATTTGATTGTTCATATGCCACCATATGAACACATTCTTTGTAGGATTTCTTCTTTTTCTGAGGGAGGGAATAAAAGAGCCGATTATGTGTTGTGAATACAGATGAAGCAACACAAAACTTCCCCATAAAAATACGTAATTGTGACTCTTGCAAAAGCGTTTGCAAAAACACTTGGCAATATTACAATTCATTGCATGTTTATAGGTTGGAGCTGAATGCCTCTTGTTAATCCACAGCTGTGGAAAGTCACCAAAGCCAGAAAATCCCAGAAAATAATCAAGAGTCTCACCAGTCGACCACTTTTCATTCAGACGCCTCTCTGCAAGGCTGTGCACCAGCCGGATCTCGTAGTCCTGGTCTCGACTCCGCCTGGAAGTCTGGAGGATCTTGATGCCAGTGGAAAGTTTGATGTAATCTTCGTAGTAGTAACTCCAGGCGGCTAACGAAAGCTGCAGCTGACTGTCAAACTGGGACAGATCGTCCAGATTCATACATCCGAGGGTCTTCAGTCTGCAGAGAAACAGAAAATTATAACACTTTTCTTCTTTACGTACCAGAAAATAACCCTGTTCTGAATGCAGAAATCTTGACCTTGATCTATTGAGCAAGTGCACTTCTCCAAACTGCAAACGGAAAACTTTCACACATGAACACTAGTTCATGTGAAATTCTGCGTAACCAGTGAGGAGAACCTTATTTTCTAATTGTCGGGTCAACAATGAGACTGTGATGTGCAGCATTTGAAATTAAAATACAGTATCTATATTGGACAAACAAGGGAAGAACAGCAGCAGTAACAAATTAATTAAAAATAAACTATTTCCTGTTGCAAGTTGTAACCATGAAACAGCTCTGTTGAGAACCTGCTGCATTTATACCACTGAGTTTTACGGTTTGACGCTGAAGTATAAAACTTAAAAAAAAGTATAATTAAGTCATGTTCAAAACGAAAAGAAGACATGACAAAATGGGAAAAAATGTGTATTATTCTTAATTATTAAGATGTTTTCTTCTAGTTTTTGTACAGGAAACATATGTCACAGGCACTTTAAATACCGCCATACTACAGTCTGTCACCGAATCCAAAACTAAACCAAAACTATGTGAGCAATGAAGATGAAAAAGGACAGAGGTGTCATAACCTTCAAGAATGTGATTCTCTTTGCTTTTAGAGTCAGACAGTATTTTATGAAAACATGACAATTTAAGTATCTGAAACATTATCAACCTTTAAAACAAACACACATAGAGGTCGTTGTTTTAGTAAGTCAATAGAATATTTACACACATTATATA